CATTCCTGAAGACATGAAACTTGGAAGGTGCTTGCAGCTCTAAAGCAAAGCTTCAGAATGCTGCTGTACTTTCTTTTCCACTTCTGGACTACCTCAGAGGCTAAACAAATTCCCAGAATAAGTTATTGCAGTCCCCAAGACCCCTTCATCATGCAGCCGGGCTGCTTATAGAGTGTAAACAGGCCAGCATCTCTAGAGAGCTCAACGCTACACAGCTGCTCCCCAGCACTGGAGGATTTTGAGATAGATTTAAGGGTTACATCCAAACAACAAAATTGGCTTAACTATTTATAGAAAACAGACTTTTGGCATGATGGACCTCTGGTAAAGTGCTGCGACCATAAGCAAAGCAGAGTAGCTATTCTTTACCAACGTAACACACAAACACTACTTTCGGGTCTTTCCTGAGCATGGCTTGGCTGCACAGTTTCAGAGCTGCTAATATAGGTCACGCAGGGCAGGGCCTGTCTTTTGTTCTGGGTCTGTACAGTGCCTGGCTCACAGAAATTCTTGTTGGTGCCTAGGTCCCTTACTGCAATCACTGAAAGCATCAATGAAATATATGTTTCCTCTCCTCTTTTTTTCAGAGCATCCTTTGAAGCAGAGCTTTTAAAAGGGGTGCACAACTTTCTGCATCACTTGACAAAGCTGTTCTGTCTGTTGATGGCTTTCCCGGTGCTAAGCTGTTGCATCAAGGGCAAAAGAAGCCCCTGTGCAAGCAGACCCAAGGGCCCTGCACAACATCCTCCCGGCAGCTCACACCTCGCACAGCAGATTATGTGGCACAGTCAGTCCTGCCCGGGGGAGCTTTGGGGCATGGACAGAACATGATATACACAGCTCCCAGCAGCTGCACAGCCCTGCAGTTTCTCTCTGGCTCTGAATGAAAGCAGTCCCCAGTACATAAGCAATAATATCACAGCAGGCACATGGAGAGAGAGACTAGCACAACTCAGACCCCAGGTTAAAGCTGCACCTTTGCACAGTGCTGACTTTGGCTCATATCTACAGCTTCAAGTACCCCCACACAAGACAACATTAAATAATGCTAAAACATACTCTTCCTATCAGACTTTGCAATGAAGCAATTCCTAGGCAACAACATTTAGTTTATGAACGAAAAGAGCTCATGGTTCGTAGTGTGGAAACAGAGGAGAACCTTCTTCTTTAGCATACAGGGCATGGAAAACAAAGGAAACAGTTTTGCTCCATGAGTTGCCTGAGGATAGGTGCATGAAAGGCCTGGGAACAAACTCTATGGAAGAAATGCACCCTGCTCAGCCAGTCAACAATGTGAAAGCATCTATTAGCAAACACCAAACTACCAAGTACTCCTCAGACAACCTTGCAAAGAGCGTTTTCTCTGCCTGTTAACATGTCTAAGAAGCAATAACGGTGAAAGCTGTACAAGTTGTTGGCTCAGTCCCTAAAAAGCACCCACTGACCATCACTTTGTTCATTTACACTGGCAATGCCAATGCATCCAGTAATACATGATACAACTTAAGACCTTCATCCGAAAGAGAGAAAACAAATTCCTCATATATTAAATAATCTTTATTTTATAAAACATAATACAAAGCATCTACACCATTCACTGGTGGAACATTAGTTGCTATTACACAGTAATTCAAACACAAGTTATTATTTCGCACTAGTTCTGCAGCTTCCTTTTATAATTTGCTCTAGCCACTATGGACTAGTCTGAGGACAGATCCCACCACGTGCTCCGTAGCTTTAAAGTTATACTTCTTCTGGGTCTGTGATTCTATGCTGGAGCCCACTAGACAGACTACGAGGCCTTGCTCTGAGGCAGCATTGCTAGCTCTACCTCATAAAGCCATTCCTAATTGCTCGTTTTCTGCTGCCCTTGTTTTAACTTCTAAAGCCTCAACACTGATCACAGTGCTCTACTTCTTCCAAGTAAGTTTCTCCCCAGTACAAAGGGGACCACTCAGCCATTAAGTGCATTATCTTTCAAAACATCTTCACACAAGGTGCTTCATAGATACCTGCAGTCACTAAATGACATCCGTATTCACTTGGGCGGGTATGGGCTGTACAGCCCCCACGGAAGGGCTGTAACCATGCATTAAGCTGCATACCAAACCTCAGAGTTTGGTCAGAGTCCAAATCATCAGGACTGCTCAGGAAACTCCTCTTGGTGGGCAAGTGAACAGCCACAGTGAGAAAAACAGGTTGTTTTCACCTACACTTCTTCAGGACTTACTGCTGAAAGCCCTTATTCCCTGGGCCAGGGTAGCTGCTGAAACTCTTTTGGCTCCAGATTTACTGCAATCTGTATGAGGGAAAATCCACCACACATCCTTTTTTCAACTTGGGAGTCCACCTGAATAAGAGGCAGCATAGCTGATCCTTATGCACGTGTCTAGCATACTTCTTTTGACTCCTACCTACAAGCAGCACTGCAAAACATCTTCAGTTCCTGCTTTTGTTGAGGCAAGCCAGATACTGGGAAGTGCCATGTTCAGGTGATGATGATGATGGGTCATAGTGAGAAGTGCTTCACTCAAAGCAACAGCATTTTGCCTTTATACAGCACAGCTTGACACAGACCACCAAGCATTCATCAAAGGTGGCTTAGTGTTAACAAATGAAAACACCCCACGAGGTAGGTAATACTGTACCCACTTAATAAAGTGGGTAAGCTGAGGCAAAAAGGCTCCTTGACAGGCCCCACAGCAGCAGCAGAGATGGGAAAGAACCAGCAAGCCCCAAGTAGCCCTTCTTGTCTCCCTTCAAGGCTCAAGAGCCACATCACTGCGCTGTGCTAAATGAGTCAAGTTTCCTTTTCAGGACCAGCTCACCCATCAGTTGGCTCTGCTAATCTGCAGTGCTTTGGGCTCTTCAGGTCTTTGGTGGCAACAGGCAAGGCTCACAGCAGAACTGGCACCTGAGCTGCACTGGAGGCCTGGGGCCGAGGCTCAAAATAAATGGTCATAATAATGACAGCAATAACAAAGGAACAGTGCTTAAGAACACACAGCGAAATAAACACCAGAAGCTGCCAACTGGGAGACAGTTTTTCACTGCAAATGGGACCAGATAAGTAATGCTTTTTTTTCTTCCAGTCAGGTTCACTTTTTTGCTTAAAAAAGGCCAGATTCTGTGCCTCTCACTTCTTTAATTATTAGGCCATAAAATAAGTCTCTCTGAATGCTCACTTTTATAAAGTGACCCAGATCCAATCAGGGAGACAGAAGTGAATTTAAAGCCCAGGGGTCAAGGCATCAATTCAGATGAAGGAGTGCCAAGGTTAGGTCTCTGGCTTGAACAGGGCAGAGGACAGATTTGAAGCTGGGTAGCTCTTTCACCTTAGCCACCAAGTTTTGAAGATGCACATTGGCCACTTTTCAACCAGAAATCCCGATTTCGATGTGAGGAAACACTCTGGTCAAAACTGGCATTTATGGTCCTGGGGAAAAAAAATCAATGCTAGTTTCAAGTGTTTTTCAATCATTTTTCCATAGAGCTTCCAGACATTCACGTACAGTACCCCACTATCCCCCAACACCATGGCAGCCTCTGGGTTCAGATACACTGATCTGAATCTGGGATGACACTTCAAGGGGAACAGAAATACACAGCCTTCAGTACAAACCAGGTTCTGGCCCCTGTTCCCTTTAGATTGCCAAAAACAGCAAGTACAGATTGTTTGCAGATTGCTGCATCAAAACACTCCGCATTTACTGTTCTTGTTTTTAAAACTTACTTACAGCTTGGGGAAGGTCTGACAATCTCAAGGCATGTCGTTTGGTCTCAGGCTGGCTCCACACTATGCCTGCATTTGGATCAATGAGCACAGCAGAGGGAATTCTGGCATTCTGCAGACAAATCAAGGTTTGGTCCATCAGTCAGAAAACCACTTACTGGCAAGTCCTGATGGGGCTTCTCATAACAGAGAGTGTTGGTCACTCAAGGAGCTAAAAGCAGTGTTTGGGGGGGGTGAGCAGAGTTTTAACAGTCAGGGATGAAAAAGAGGGAAAAAGTCAAAAAAGTGTTTCACATTAGGGGCTGTCTTTGGGTGTATTCACAGAGCACCTAGTCCTGCAAGGCGCCAGTGCTGATTAGAGCTTCTGGACACTACTGAAAAATAAGTTATCAATACGTTATTAAATAAGTTATTAAAAGGAATTAGCAAGGGTAGGAAACAACGACCTACCTAAAATACTGTTCTTTCTAGAGTCACACTCTAGCTCAACCACCAAAATCATTTCTCCCAAAGGAAACACAGGGATAATGAACAAAGTGCAGATAACAACCATCATTTTGCATTTATATAGCACCTCTCAAGTAAAGATCTGAAAGTGCATAACAAAGATGGATCAGCTCCATCACCCCCCAGTTCACAGGTGGGGAAATTAGGCACAGAGTTAAGAGTTATGTGACTTGCCCAAGGTCACATAACAAGTTGGTGGAAGAGCCAGGAATCTCAACTCTGATGAAACACTAGAACATGCTTCTTCCTAACAGTACAAAGAATCACTCTAGCTGTCTAGACTGTACAGGACACCGAACATGAAGATCTAATGTTATTTTCTCCTCTCTTCCAAGATTCTACCAGTGCTGAAGGAGTTAGCTACTAACATTACTATTTACACCTGCACTGCTGGACTAGTTATGTTTAGTCTGTAAAATTAGCCCTTCTTTCACTCATATCATTTACTATACTCTTACGTACACACTGAGCCAGCCTCTGTGAGGCCAAACACTGAAGATCCAATGAATCCATGGCATAGCTCCATGGATTTCAATGGAGTTATGCCAGGGAGAAATTTGGCTCCAGAATTGCTAACGTGTGTTGGCTCCTCTCCCGACAGTGGCATTTCAGGCACGATCCCCTTCTTGCCAGATTGTGAACTCAAGGAAGTCTTTACTCAGCATCCAGTCAGTGGTTTTTCAAATGTCCATTAGTTTTCAAGTATAACTCATCACTCCTCCGACTCCTCCAAGCATGGTACTTCTTCATGCTCTTCCTCCTAGCGAAGCGACAGATGCTGACCATGAAAACCCAGGAGACAGCATACATGATGACGCCACCCACCTTAATGTACCACCTGGGTTTGGGAGAAGCAAGCTCACAGTACATCAGCCAGGCCCCCACTCCAATCCGCACTGCAGTGAAGAGGACCACGAAGAAGAAATCCACCACATCACCTGTGAAACTGTGGTAACACCCCATCTCCTTCAGGAACCAGCGGGCCTGCAGCAGTGGGTTAGTGATCTCACTACCAAAGATGACAGCATTGACCTCCGCAGCTGACTCCCCGAGTGCCAATGACGCTGTGATGCCCAAGATGCTCACCAGATGGTGGGCCAGCATTAGGGCACCCTCTGTCTGGAAGTACACACACCAACAAAGGTCGAAGAGGAAGTAGCCCAAGCTAAGGCACAGCACATGTACCTGAAGAGTTGTGTTTGGTGAGCCTGAAACATACAGACACCAGATAGAGCTTTAAAGCATGGAGGCAACGAGCAGGCAAGATCCATGACAAAGAAGGGGTATTCAACTTCAGCACTGGCAGGCTGATATGAGCTTGTACTGATCACAGCTCAGCTGGAGAAGTCAGACAAGTCACAATACTATAGTTGTTAGTCTAACAGCTGCACACACATAACGGCCACACAACGTGATCACACACTCTGCCAGATTGCAGCTGGGGAGGGCCATTACACTAGCAAACAACAATACCAGTCTCTCCATTTCTCTAGTAATCTCCATCACAAAGCAGCTCAGATATTACAATCATCATGCCTCGAGTGGGCTGGATACTGAGGTGGCAGGAGAACCCCACTTTGTGCCACCACCCATTGGGGGACTTGGGACCACAACTTTCATTACTTACCTGGGTGACTCAAAGGCCAGGGACCATCAATAAAGCCAATGTAAGCAGAGAGACAGGTAGCAAGGATGCCATGCGTCAGTGTGACCAGCCTGCAGCTCCATTCATAATTCCGGTGCTTGTAGCGATGGCAGAACCAAGCGTAGAGAGATAGCCAGGCAAGCAGACTGCAGGCTACCCGCAGAGGCAGGGCGAACAGCATCCTGTCACAGGAACAGAAAGACAAAATGCATCAGAAGATTTAGCCTTCGGCAGTGTTATCACAACCCAGTGCAGCATTTCACCGGTAACCATCCCAGCACTGAGCGTACTCTGCTGCTTCCTGATGTTGCTGCTTGCTCCTGACAAGTTTTTTGTGCAGAGGAACTGCAGTTTCTCCGGGGAAAGGCCTACATCAAAGAAGGGTACCCTTGAGAATTAGGGCAGATTCACCATGTGGCCACCATCACACAGGCCCCCACCAGTGTCACCTCAGCTGCAGGAACATGCACTGAAAGCGATGACTTTGTAAGGCAGTGAGTTCCTAGCCTGGCTGAACACAAAACATACCACAACTTGGTAACACACCTTGGAGGACTTTCCCAACCAGTCTACGATACAGGATCTGCTGGGATACAATAGTTCTCATCTGCGCTGCCTGAGGGACAGGCTGAGAGGAGTACCACATCCAGCAATAAGGCTTTGATCCAGAGCTACTCCTGCCCCTTTGTTTTTCTTCCCTTCCCGTGTATCTGCATTTGACAGCTCTGCTTGTGTTGCCCCCCTGACCTACTCATCCTGTCGTGCTGTTTGCTAGCTTGGTTCCTCCTCTCCTGGAACAAAAAAAAAAATATCAAGAAAATCACCAAAACACACAGTCCTTTGCTAGGTTCACTGCTAATCAATCTTCCCAGTGTAGTGACACCAACTACAAATAAGTCAAGAGAAACACAAAGGCATTGCCATCTCCTCCTGCTACTAAATTTTAACCTTCTAGCATTAACACATTTCCAGGACAATTTGGGGGGAAAAAAAACCCTGTAAAATCCCCCGTCCTCCCCATGAAAGCTTACAGTGGAACAACATACAATTAAAGCTTCTTCGTGAGCATATGAGGACAAAGCTCAGATTAGAACAAAGCATCTCCCAGCAAATGGTGATCAGACAGAGCAGCCCACCACCTGTGGAAGCAGCCAAGCACTCACACAGCCAGTGCCTTTCCTACCCCTGGCTGCACTCCACAAATGCCCCCCCGCCACCCCACACCTCCCCTGGGCAAGGCGCTGGATGTTGCCGCCTCTGCACTTCGAGAGGCGTGAGACAAGGTGAAAACCACTTAGCTCTCCTAAACGCAGACTTCATTTCACCTTTTCTGGCACCAAGACCTCCAAATCTTTTTGAGACAAAAGCATTAGAAGCTATGCCCATAAATGATTTTTCAGCAGTATTTCTTTCATACACCTTCCCTTACTCACAGTGCAATACAGAGTCTCTCAAACAAGCAAAAGATATACTGCCAGAACAAAATTACAGCGCATAAACATCTGTGGAGGATACTGCTCTTGTTGCTAAAAGCCTCCCAAATACGTAATACTCCAATATCTACATCTCGTTCATACTTGTAACACCTCTCCATGAAATATAAGATGTGCCTCGTTACTCCTGAGCATTCAGGGAAGTGCATCAAAAGAAGTTGAGTCACGCTCTGGGATACGCAAGTTTCCAGTTGTGCAATAGCAGAAGCGCAACTGGTCCTGCTGGTACCTGCTGACCAGCGCGCTGGATTCACACCCAGGGCTGGGGAACACCAAAAGGACTCCACGTGATGAGGAGTCAGCCTTGCACTGCCCAACCTCCCTGTTTGGCCTGTTGCAAGTATCACCAGGAATGACCTGGGAGGCTGGATAAACAAAACCATTATGGTATAATGGGCCTCAGGAACATGAGGAGATGAAATAAGGATGTGATTAACTGCTCTGACCAGGTGTTTCCATTGACATCCCTGGTACTCGAGGTCCGTACGCATTCAGAGTCAGGGCAGATAAAGCAGGGTGAATTCTGCCGTGACAAAAGGGACTGACCAGCTGGAGAAGGCTGGGGGGGGAAAAAAAAAAAAAAAAAAAAAAAAAGGGGCCATCTTCCAACCGCATATCAAAGCTCAACATTTGTCACTAGCATATGCAGTACCTATTGCACCTGTGAATTATGCCCATCCCCGCACTCTAGAAAGGGCAATATCCTTTTAAAACCGCGGTAATTACCGTAACGTTTGTAGCACAGGTAGCGAGGGGGTCATGGACGACGGCAGGCTCTACAGCAGTTAGAGGTGCCTACACACCTAGTCCAGAACAGCCCTGCTCTCCCCGAACGAGCTATAAGAAACCAGACGGGGGCCTGCAGCAAGGCGCCGTTGCTTCCATCGTGAGAAAATGGAGGAGCCCACCCGAGGTGCCGCAGCCCGCCCGCC